TTATTTTTTTCTTTCTATTTTTTCTGTTTCTAGGTTGATTACTTCAGGCTAGAAAAATACCTTTGAATTTTGAAAGAAAATCTCTGTGTGTGTGTGTGTGTGTGTGTGTGTGTGTGTGTGTGTGTGTGTGTGTGTGTGTTTTGCAACTTTGGCTCTCCAAAAGGAAAAGTATAAAATTTTCTAGTTTCAGTTTTCTATACCCTAAGATTTAATTCATCTAGGCCTGGAAAGAATAAAGCAACCTTTCAAATCCGCTGAAGTCAAAAGATTAAAATATCTGTGCTAAAAATACATAAGCAAAAACAGCAACAACCACAATATTCTAATGAAATGTAATAAGTATAAAATAAACTTATATAAAATAAAAAAAGATAAAACAATAGAAAGGAATAAGCTAACAGAAGCTTTAAGCAATGTTACCCAATAAGAGTTTTGAAGGAATTTTGGAATTTTCAGGAGTTTATATGAAAAAGTGTAAGTTTGGGAAAGGAAAATTATGGGCAGATACCGAAGGCATAAACCATGTAGCATGTTTGGGAAGCTTCACAGAATTTGGCACTGGTGAAATAAAAGGGACAAAATTCTACATTGAGGCTGAGTTCTGATTGTGGTCTACCTTCTATGCAAAGGAACTGGACTTTTCCCTCAGAACAAGGAGAGCCTTTGGAGAGCTGTAATCATAGGAATGCCAGAATCTGCCTAGACTTAAAGATTAATTTTGGGTCAGGATAGAGTTGCTCAAATTCAAAGCCAAGTTTTATTGTTGACTCCTTTCCACCCCTTACAACCTCCCATAGCAAATGAAGACAACAATCTGTTCATTTGACTCATTAAATATATTTTGAAGCTGCCTCTTCCTGTCTATTGCTTCTGCCACAATCCTGATCTGAGCCACCATCACATGTTACTTGGATGTTTTAACTGCTTTTCTGACTTGTCTCTCAAGAAACCCTTTATCCCCAGATCCAATCTATACAACACCTAAATGTCTTTTTAAACTACAAATCTGATCATGTGACTCCTTTGTTTGAAACCATTCAGTGCCTTCTTCTAACACTTAAAACTGTGCAAAATAATCTACAAGTCCAAGAGAAATCTGGCTACATTCTCTCTTCAGATCTACTCTGTACCACTGACCCCCTGGTTTCCCAAACTCCAGCCCGATTATACTTTGCTCAGCCCTTGGCTCCAACAGTACTAATTCTGCCTAGATGCTATTCCTCCTGATTGGAACACCTCTTTCCAACATCACCTAGCAACATCAACCCTGCCTTCCCTTCAGCTTCAGACTGCTTTTTCCCTACTCCTCATCATGCCTGCAGTTACCTATCCAATGCTTATCTTCCTGGCTCAACTGGAAATATGCAGGGGCCTTGTCTTATTTGCTGGCGAAACCCACATTAATAGCATAGCACCTATCGTGTTGTAGATACTTAATGAACTTCTACCAAACAAATGTGCTGAATAAATGAATAAAGTGACTTGCTGTCACTGTGCTACAAAGCCACAGAAAGCATCATCTCTTGTCCTCAGAGAACTCACAATCCACCCGGTGAGAGAATAATGAACAAAACGTAAGTCGATGTTTTATCCTCCTTCATAGGGACAAGCAGGTGCCATGGTAACACAGAGGAAAGAGGGAATAAAGAAATGTATTTGTGGCAGAGGTGAAATTTGAATTAGTTCTGAGAGGAAGCATTAAAGATACTGTAGTCAAGCTGTCAGAACCTCAGGAAAAGGAAGGAGGCAAGGATGCGTGCAATATAAAATAAATCATGAGTCATTACTGTCCATGGACCGAATAATTACATATTTGAGCATTCGATAGTGACATAAAAAAGCATGGAGAACAGTAATAGGTTTTATTTCCCTGAAGTAGAAAGAAGTGTGAATTGTCTGTGCTGTGAAGCTGGTGTGCAGAGTGGTTACTTTGGTAGTGAGTGAGCCCAATTGTCTGCCAAACATCCTTATCGCTTAATGGTATCACGGTTTTAAAATATATTGCCATACACACATTCATAGTTTAATTTACTACATCTGATATGTTGTATATGGTATGTAGATACTGGAACATCTTACAGCATAACTATTAATTTGAAGAAGCCCAATCTAAATGTTAAAATATATATCATGTATACCTAGTAAATATATACATGCTCATATATGTATAGTCATATGCATAGAGTATATAGTAATAAAATAATCCTATTATTTATCTTATACTACACTAAATATTTTTCACACATTATCTAATATTATTTTCATAATATTCCCCAAGATACTGATGTTCACATACCCATTATACAGATTAGGAAACTAAAGGTTTGATAAACCGTGTCCTTTATCTGAGGGTTAGAATGAGGATTTTAACTCATGTTTTCCAGCTCCATAGCACATTCCCTAATATGATACACTGCCAAAATAAATACATTTGATATTTAATTATACAATAGAAATGAGGAAAAGAAGGTTTTTCAGTGCAATAAATGAGAGAGGCAATATTCTTTTGGCATAGTTATGGCAGATAATGATAATGGTCCTTAAGATTCAAAGGCAACCTCCTGCATGTGTGTTGAGTTTGATGGTTTTACTTTCAGCAGGAAGCACAGCCTGCACAACTAAGCTTTCCCACTGCTGAGATTAATTTCAGGTATCAGAGGTGTACTGGTGTGCACTGATGGCTGGATCTAATGCTCCTGGAGGCACACCTATTCCTCATATCATGATCAGTCTTTTCTATGTGTAAAATAGATTAAGCTTCCTTGGTATTGTCTTATAAAATATATTACAGAGAACTTAAAGTGAAATTGCCTTGTATTGTAGAATAAAGGAAAAAAGCCAGATGAGAGTATTTGCAAATATGCATATTCTTTTCATGTTTGAGGTTTTATTCTTTGATTTAAAAAACATTAAAACATCTGTCCCACTCTAGGCCCTTTATATAAGTTGATTCATCCTTGCAGATCAGAAGGCCAGTGATAATAGCAAAAGTAGAGGGATGTTTAAGACTTTCCTAGTAACTTTGCAGCTCTCTTCTCTATATCTCTTATTCTTTGCTTTTCTACATATACATTTCCATTGGTCAACTGCTCCCATTTAGCTCATGAGACATCCTGTCGGACCTGTGATCTGACTGGTCCCTAGGTTAAGTGTACTGAAAGTTTTAGAGAAGGGCTTCACCACAGAACACTTCTAGACTTAGTCTGACTGCCTATCCTGATGTTCTTCCCATCAGTGTGGGCAGGTTTAACATATTAATGATGCTTGGTGCTAGGGATTGTGGGAATAAAAGAACTCACCTACATGAGATGAGGCAGAGCTTGTTTAGTCACTTATTTTATCAGAGCTTTCTAAAGTAAGGGAATCAGCCATCATCACTGCGTTAGCTAGAAACTCATAGGTAGGCAGGGCAGTGGAAAACATCATAGTGAACAGAAGAGAAGGGTTCAAGTATGCTTTGATTTGAGGTGGTTGGCATGAAGAAGCTGCATTTGTGCTAACTAGAAGCGGGGCGTCCCCTGTAATTGGTTTGGGGAGCATATTGGCTTTTTCTGGTTGGTCCTGAGGTGGAAACAAAAATAAGGGAAGCTGCAGTCATTGAATAAATCCTATCTGTTCTGGGTCAATTGCTGCAGAGCTTTTGGTTTGGTTTCCTGGGGCTGATTGCTGCTGAGATTAGGGATAAGAGTACAGAGGTGATATTAGTTGGAAAGGGGAACCTTTATGGGGAAGAATCAAGATTCAGCCATCCCCGAGTTTGAAGGATTAGTAGAAGTTTGCCAAATACCCAAACAAGGAAAGTGTGTCACAGAGAGAAGCAGGCACAGAAGTGTGAAACAACAAGGCATGTGAAAGGGCCTGACTATATTTGGAGTTTGAGAATATGACTAGAGCCAAGTCCCACAGAGCCTTATACACAAGGCAAAGGAGTTCAGTTAACCCTAAAATGAATAAGGATCTAAAAGGAATTCACAGCCCAGGAGTAGTGCTGTCAAGCTTGCTAAGTGACAAAATATGCTGGACAGGGGGTAGCTATTTATGAAAAACGCCTTGGGGTATCTCGGACTCAATGACTAGAGAAACAGTCAAGCCAAGGTCAGTAACAAGATATTGAGATGAACAATACCAACTCAGGTAAAGAGAGGATTATAGGAGTATTGGAAACAAGATTTAAATTCGGGACATTGACAAGTCACGTGAGGTAGCAGCGCACAGAAACAAGAACAAGAAAGGCAGGTTAGGCTGGTTCAGCTCCAGAAGTCAACATCTTGCCCTCATGAGGCTATTTTAAAAGGACTCAATATGAACCATTCTGCTCATACTGGTCAACATCTTTAAAGTGCTGCTAAGCACCTGACGTGTAAGGCTGAATTGGATGCACATTTTGAGTACGTAAAACTCTTTGCAAAGATAATTGTAATTGTCCTGTTTCTATAATTAGTATTTATAATTACAACACAAGAAATCAGTGTCCAGAGGTAAATACATGATAAACAATATTAAAATGTTTAATCCAGTAGTTTTAGATGAGAATTTCTTTTAGCTAGTGACCCCAGATGTCACGCTTTAGAATAGGGGTTTGGAAACTATGGCCCCCAGGCAAAATCCGGCATGCAGCATTTTTGAGAAGGTCTGTTGGAACACAGCCATATCCACTTATTTATGTGTTGTTTATAGCTACTTTCATACCACAACAGCAGGGCTGAATCACTGCAACAGAAATTGTATAGTCTGTAAAGGCTAAAATATTTGCTATCTGGGTTTTTTTTTTCTTCCCTCGAGATGGAGTCTTGCTTTGTTACCAAGGCTGGAGTGTAGTGGTGTGATCTCGGCTCACTGCAACCTCCGCCTCCCGGATTCAAGCAGTTCTCCTGCCTCAGCCTCCAGAGTAGCTGGGATTACAGGCACCAGCCACCATGCCCGGCTAATTTTTGTATTTTTAGTAGAAAAGGAGTTTTACCATGTTGGCCAGGTTGGTCTCAATCTCCTGACCTCGTGATGCACCTGGCTTGGTCTCCCAAAGTGCTGGGATTACAGACGTGAGCCACTGCGCCTGGCCTGCTATCTGGCGTTTCACAGAAAAAAGTTTCCCAGCCTTTGACTTAGAACCCAGGGCAAATGGAACAAAATGTATTCGAATTACTTGACATGAAAATAAACATAATACATGAATCCTATCTATTGTGCATAATCTTCATAGGAGGTAATATCAGTCCCACGGTGTAGAAGAGGAAGGGGAGGCTCAGAGAGGTTAAGTAATATTTTGAGCAGAATATAACAAATATCCAAAGTATGATTTTGACTTATGTCTAACTAGCTTCAAAATCTTTCTACTTTGTCAGATTCTCCCAGTTGTAACTTGCTATTTAATTTAGCAAACATTGAATATTTACTTCCCCAGTACCTGGTAAGTCACTGAGGTAGGTTCTATAGAGGTAAACTTACCTTCAAGAAACTAAAATCTAGTGAAAGAACCAGAGAACTAGATAAACATGGCAAAGCATGAACAAAGGCAGGCCATATAGGTTAATCGAGTGTAGAAGTTAAGAACCTGCCTGTCTTGAAGTCCTAGATCTACTACAGGTAAGCTTGGCAACAAATCTAGTTATGGAATCTTTCTGTCATGAAACTTTCATGTCCATTTGGAAAAGATGATAGTTACTTGTCCTATGAAGATTGTGAGGAATAATGCATTATTTTATTCAATGTATACTACTGAGCATCTACTAGATACTCAAGTATGTCTTGATTTGTATCTAAATTTGTATGCTATAAAATCATATAGAAAATGAAGAGTCATTATCTAATTTTAAGTAGGAAAAATGTGAATCGATACTAATACTAAAAACTAGTAATTTACTCAATGCCAGGCAATGTTACCAGTGTTTTACGTTTTCAGAAAACAATTATAATTATGAAGAAAACAATTCTTCACTTTTCAAGAAAGAAAACCAAGGCAATGAGAAAGTAAGTAACTGGCCCACCCAAGGTTAGTGGATTTCCTATTCTCGACTTCTAGTCAAACACTATCAAAATTGACAACTAAAGAAATAATGAAATGCAATAAAATGTTTATAGCATTTAAGAGAATAAATTAGTTTCTTAATGTCTAGATTTTATATTAAGTAAAGAGCTTGCAGAAAAAGTAACTGACAGTTGATGATTTTGATTATAATCAGTCAGATTTTTTCCATATTTGAGCAAAAATTGCAATTCACTTATCCAGTGAATTAATTCACCTATCCAGTGCTTTCAGTGTAGATTCGCTGAGTCATGTAACTTATGTCATCTCTTATAAATTGAGATGAAAAATGAAGAAATGATTGATTTATCTTAAAACAGTTCTATGTTGATAATATAAAAACTGACATGTTCATCTAAAATGTTTGATAAGTTGCATTATACATGATTCATATCTTATGTGTAACTTATATATGATATTTGATTTGGTTTATACACAAAGGAACAAATGTTTCTGTATAAGAAAGTTATTTTGCTTATTATGGAATTTAAAACTAAAATGATTCTTCCACGATGTCCATTTAACAATTTAAATTTAGGAAACATCTGGCATGTTCGATGAGTATTTACTTTGTATAATTGTGTTCGACATTTTAGTGCATTCCCTTTAGCAGTTTATTTCAGCAACCAACGCATGTGAACTTGCTTCTTGCTAAACGTTTATTTTAGCAAAGTTTTAGACCTCCAGATTTTAAGAAAAATTGCCCAGGCTGGAGTGTTGTGGCATGATCTTGGCTCACTGCAAGCTCCACCTCCCGGGTTCAAGCCATTCTCCTGCCGCAGCCTCCCGAGTAGTTGGGAGTACAGGGGCCCGCTACTACGCCCAGTGAATTGTTTTTCTTGTATCTTTAGTAGAGACAGGGTTTCACCATGTTAGCCAGGATGGTCGTCATCTCCTGGTCTGGTGATCTGCCTGCCTCGGCCTTCCAAAGTGCTGATATTACAGGCGTGGGGCCACAGTGCCCGGCCAAAAGTGTGGCTTTTTAAACTGTGAAGACACAAATGTACCACTGAGAACCCAAAGAAAATTGGACTGTTTAGTTTTGTGATTTGATGTCTGAAAAATAAAATTCTTTAGTTTCCTTTCATTTTTCCTCAGAGAATATAAACTGTGTTGTGATGTCAAACTCATTCTAAGTTTTGATGCCCATGGGCAAATTGTTTGCTCTAATTAAAACAAAATGAAGACAAATCTCTTACACGTAAATCTTTGATGGTGGTGGGAAATGTAGCTTCATGTTTTTAAAGTCTTCCCAGAAGTCGAAATGCCTCTCAATCTTGTAACTCTACTTTTTATAGCTACCTAAAATAATTATTAAGGCATATTTGATATACTGAAATCAATTTATGTTTGTGTTTTGTTTAATAATTGGGATCCGTGGGACCATTTGCTGTAAATATCCTATATTTTTAAAATATAGGATTTTTTTTTAAAAAAACTTTGTTTAAAGATATGCGGAAAAATATTTATACTTAAAAATATAAACTCCATTAACAAAAATTGTTCAACAAATCTCTATTAATTCAATACATTGTATGCTTAATTTTCGCAGTCAATTTTTCCTTTTCTTCTCTTTAATGATGTGATGTTATTCAATGTCTTCTGAAAACTTGAGCATAGGAAGTTGAAAGTGTATAAAGTAAAACAAATTGTAAGGAGAGAATTTAGAATGCTAATTTTTGAAGGGGAAATATAAATTTTACAACTCTTAGTTTGCATTTTAAATTTATGTTATTACCTGTATTTAAGTATTTAAGTTGATTTTCACCAGTGTGTTATGTGTTTGTGTTGTTGTAAAAGAAATACCTAATACTGGGTCATTTATAGAGAAAATAGATTTATTTGGCCATTGGTTCTGCAGATTGTACACAATGCATAGTGCCAGCAACTGCTTGTGGTGAAGGCCTCAGTAAGATTCCAGTCATGGCAGAATTTGAAGGGGAGCCAGCATGTCATTGGGCAAGAGAGGGAGCAAGAGAGAAAGGGAAGGTGCCACATTCTTTTAAACAACTAGATCTCCTGTAAACTCTTTACCACTCATTACCCAAGGGAGAGAATCAAGCCATTCATGAGGGATTTGCTCCTGTGACCTAATACCTCCCACAAGGCCCCACATCCAACAATACAGGTCACATTTTAATATGAGATTTGGAGGGGATAAAACATCCAAACCATATCAACTGTTCACTGCTAACTACTAAATCAAAGAGTTACTTTTTTACAGACAATGTATTATTTTTTTCTTCATTCAAAAGAAAAATACTTGATTGGACATTATGAGGAGAAAATGTTAATCTCTTACAGTTTTTAATTAAATAAAATAATTTGAGGCTATTTTTATAAATTAAGGCCATCAAGAAGGACTCTAGACTCTAAAAAGATTCCAGACATTTTCTATAAACATATTTTTATATATGTTTATATTTATTTATTTATATGTTTATACATATGTTTTTATACACACACATATATACATATATACATACATACATACGTGTGTTTGTGTGTGTGTGTGTGTGTGTATAGTTATTTTCATAGTAGATTTACACCACTGCCATCTGGGAGTAATTTCCTTATTCAATACAGAAGGATTTCTCATCCTTCTAAATATTTTCTTCTAGCTCAGAGTGCCTGTGGCCAAAAACAAGAGATTTTAAAACAACAAAAAGAAAAAATTCTGCATCCCCATATGGGTTAGCTTTCTTTTCTAGTCTTTTTACTTGAGTTAAAATATTTCCTTTGAATTTAGACTGACAAAGATATTGAAGGATATCTAATGTCATTTAGAGCACTGCTCCTATGCTCTTGTTCAGTAGTTCCTCAAGTGGAGGTGATTGGAGATACTAGAAGAAAGGAATAAACTAGGGTAGCTCATATCACCCATTCCGTGTTTTTTCTCTTTAGGATGTCCCAGCCTGAAGTGAAATTGAATTCTGTTCTGCCTCTGCTATGCTGTAAATTTAGCAATAAAGTTTCTGTTCCATATGTGACCGAGTAGGTAAGGGTGCCCTGTAATGGAGTGTAGTGTAGGAAAATCCCTGTTGCTAAGCACCGCGCCAACAACACCATGAACTACAAAGCTCACATGTTTATTTCATTATGCTTTACTTCTATGTCTATCTTGAATTGCTCAGTATTCAGAGAAAACACAAAGGTAAGTTGTTAACATTCTTCGTTGCAACAAATTTTTTAGAACTAATTCTATATTGAGGAATGTCTTCAATTTTAACCAAAACCCTTTGATAAATTACAGAGTTGCTGAATTTATCTAGATCTAAATCTTAAACTGTATCTATCATATAGATTTATATGATTTATCAAGAGCTATTATCAGGGATGTATACTTGAATCCTTTTACAATTTTCATAATGCAACCAGAAAGTGACCCTTGAGATCCTTGAGAGTGATTATATAAACATACCTCGATTTGGTGTCTCCAGCCTAATTATCACAGTTAAAATTTTGGTATCAAAATGGAACAAAGATAATAAGACTTGTAAAGCAGCAGACCTTACAAAATGTTAAAAACAATTTTATTTACATAGTGCATCCACACAGACCTAATTATATGTATTAAACCTAATGTTTAACATTATTAGCAAGTCAGAGAATTTAGAAAAATCAGTTAGACATAATTTTAGATAAAATAAGTATTAATATTAGTCATTAATATTAATCCCTGTTTGATTAAATGACTCTATATGAAAATAACTGTCTTCGAATTATTTTCAGCTCACAAATTTTTAATGAAAGGAGATGGTGGCTGGGCGCATTGGCTCATGCCTGTAATGACAGCTCTTTGGGAGGCCAAAGTGGGCGGATCACTTGAGGTCAGGAGTTCGAGACCAGCCTGGCCAACATGGTGAAACTCTCTCTCTACTAAAAATATAAAAATTAGCTGGTCCTTGTGGTGGATGCCTGTAATCCCAGCTACTCAGGAGGCTGAGGCATAGAATCACTTGAACAGGGGAAGCGGAGGTTGCAGTGAGCCGAGATCATGCTACTTCATTCCAACCTTGGTGACAGATCAAAACTCTGTCTCAAAAAAATAAATAAGGAGATGGTGTGTAATCAATATTTTGGGCCCCTCTTGTTAGCTAATATGTTTAAGCCTAGGTCAAGATAGAAACTGACCCAGATTATTAGCATGTTTCAGTGCATAATACTTTAAAATAATTCAACACTGACACATAATACTATACTATTCCACTTAGATATAAACAGATGGTAAGAGAAATCTCATGTTCTTATCCTGGCATGGTGGCTCACACCTGTAATCCTAGCACTTTGGGAAGCCAAGTTGGGAGGATCCCTTGAGCCCAGGAGTTTGAAACCAGACTGGGTAACGTAGTGAGACCTATCTCTACAGAAAATTTAAAAACTAGCTGGGCGTTGTGGCAAGCACCTTAGTCCTAGCCACTGGGGTTGTTGAGGTGAGAGAATTGCTTTTCCCAGGAGTTCAAGGCTACAGTGAGCTATGATCACATCACTGCACCCCAGCATGGGTGATACAGTGAGACCCTGTCTCTTAAATAAACAAAAAATAATCCCAGAACTCTAATGTTCTTATAAGACTTTTAATAATTAGCCGGGCATGGTGGCACATGCCTATAGTCCCAGCTACTTGGAAGGCTGAGACACGAGAATCGCTTGAGCCTGGGAGGCAGAGATTTCAGTGAGCCGAGATCATGCCACTGTGCTCCAGCCTGGATGATAGAGCGAAACTCTGTCTGAAAATAAATGAATGAATGAATGAATGAATGTATAATGAAAGTTTTAACTTAACAAATTTTATTTATGCCTCACATTGATGAAATTATAAGAACTAATAATACTAATATACATATATTTTACAAAAAAGTTTTTTTTTTTAAATTAAACCCTTATGATATACAAAGTTATTTATTTATTTATTTATTTATTTATTTATTTATTTATTTATTTATTTTGAGATGGAGTCTTGCTGTCACCAGGCTGGAGTGCAGTGGTGCGATCTTGGCTCGCTGCAACTTCTGCCTCCTGGGTTCAAGCGATTCTCCTGCCTCAGCCTCCCGAGTAGCTAGGACTACAGGCGTGTGTCACCACGCCCAGCTAATATTTGTGTTTTTAGTATACATGGGGTTTCACCATGTTGGCCAGGATGGTCTTGATCTCTTGACCTCGTGATCCACCTGCCTCAGCCTCCCAAAGTGCTGGGATTACAGGTATGAACCACCACACTCGGCTGCAAGGTGACTTAAATTAATCAACAATTTAATCTTAATGCACAATTTTTGTCATTTGTAATATTTTCCAATAGCTTATCTGAAATCGTTAGGATCAGATTTCAAACTAAGATTTCAAAGTCAGATTTCTTTGAAATCACAATTCAAAAATATTTAGATTTTAGAAAGGTAATGTGATAAATATACTGCATATTATGGAATATCCCTAGTGGCAAATCATATGAATAATCACATGAACTGGGATCAGTAAAGACTACCCCTGGCTGGGTGCAGTGGCTCACACCTGTAATCCTAGCACTTTGGGAGGTTGAGGTGGGTGGATCACCTGAGGTCAGGAATTTGAGACCTGCCTGGCCAACATGGTGAAACTTTGTCTCTATTAACAATTAGCTGAGTGTGGTGGCAGGTGCCTTAATCCCAGCTACACGGGAGGCTGAGGCAAGAGAACTGCTTGAACCCAAGAGGTGGAGGTTGCACTGAGCCGAGATTGTGCCATTGCACTCCAGCCTGGGCAACAGAGCAAAAACTCCGTCTAAAAAAATAAGACTATAAATACCCCTACATCAGCATAGATCAGATTTTACCAAACTTATGTTTAGGTATTCATAAATGTTGAATTTTGTAATTCCATGTGAAGAATTGTAGATCTGCATATATTTTCAAATACTAATAGTTATAATTCCATAGTTTATAAGTCCAATTTTTGGTTATTTTCATTATTAATACTTTTCCATTCATCTACCCTTTCTAAGAGAGAATACAATATGTTTCTTTTTTTTTTTTTTTTTTTTTTGAGATGGGTTCTCGGTTTGTCCTCCAGGCTAGAGTGCAGTGGCACAATCCTGGCTCAGTGCAACCTCCAGCTCCCAGGTTCAAGCAATTCTCCTGCCTCAGCCTACTAAGTAGCTGGGACTACAGGCATGTGCACCACGCCCAGATAATTTTTGTATTTTTAGTAGAGACCGGGTTTCATCATGTTGGCCAGGCTGGTCTAGAACTACTGACCTCAAGTGATCCACCCGCCTCCGCTTCCCAGAGTGATGGGATTACAGGCACGAGCCACCGCACCTGGCCAAGAAGACAATATGTTTCTAAGTTGATAGTCTATCATTTATCCACATTTCTATGATGAATTTAAGTAATTTCTAATTTCTCCCTATTGAAAATAATGATGGAACAAATAATTTCATTTATGTATATTTTTGTTCATTTGAACAATTTCCTTAGAATAAATTCCAAAGCATAAGCCAGTAGATCAAAGAGAATTAAATCCTTTTATTTTTAAAAACATATTGGCAGATTTCCTCCAAAAAGCACTATGCTAATTTACAATGCCCCCAGAAAAATATTAGTATGCCTTTTTGGTAGTATTATTAACTGGACCATCGATATTCCTTTCTTATGCCCCTTTAATAGTGTAGGATGGTTCATTTACTCTTTTTTATATTAGCATTTCTTTAATCGCTACTAGTGAAAAGAACATAGTCCCATGTATACATGTATGTGTTAAAAGTGCATTCATTTTCTTTGTCCTTTTGTTGATCAAGGTCTTAGTGGTGGCCATGTATATTTGAATATGTTTTTAGTTATTAACCCTTCTTCACGTTATCGTTATTTTGGTCATTTTACTGATGCTTAATGGGGAAGAATCAATTTCACTAGGGATAAAAGTCAGAAGAACAGAAATTGTGAGTTCCTTTGTGAAGATCCAAGGACCTTCAAGGACTCCTGAAGAGCCAAGAATAATCATTCCTATTTTTCATCTCCAATGGAAAAGAGAGCGCATTATACCTTTCTAGCCTATTCTGGAATAAATAATTACATTTTAGTGTAAACTAACAAAGGAAACACTGCAAGTTAATGAAATGTAGTCTCTACAATTTGTTAGACTTTTTATTTTTTATTTTTATTTTTAGTTAGACTTTGTTTTTGAGAAGGAGTCTCGCTCTGTTGCCCAGTCTGGAGTGCAATGGCTTGATCTCCACTCACTGCAACCCCTGCCTCCCAGGTTCAAGTGAGTCTCCCTGCCTCAGCCTCCCTAGTAGTTGGGATTGCAGGTAGGCAGCACCACGCCCGGATATTTTTGGTACAGACAGGGTTTTGCCATGTTGGCCAGGCTGGTCTCCAACTCCTGACTTCAGGTGATCTGCCTGCCTCGGCCTCCCAAAGTGCTGGGATTACAGACCTGAGCCACCGCGCCAGGCCGCAAGCTAATTTTCGTATGTTTAGTAGAAGCTAATTTTTGTATGATTAGTAGAGATAGGGTTTCACTCCATGTTGGCCAAGCTAGTCTCGACCTCGACCTTAGGTGATCTACTGGGCTCGGCCTCTCTAAGTGCTGGGAGTACAGGCCAGAGTCACCTTGCCCAGCCAGCATTTATGTTACTTAAATTGCAAAGTAACTGGCCAGGCGGTGGTGACTCATGCCTGTAATCCCAGCATTTTCAGAGGCCGAGGCAGGTGAATCACCTGAGGTTGGGAGTTTGAGACCAGCCTGACCAACATGGAGAAACCCTGTGTCTACTAAAAAAATATACATATGTATATACAAAATTAGCCGGCATGGTGGCACATGCCTGTAATCCCAGCTACTGAGGAGGCTGAGGCAGGAGAATCGCTTGAACCTGGGAGGCGGAGGTTTCAGTGAGCCCATTACACCATTGCCTTGTAGCCTGGGCGACAAAAGAGAAACTCATCTCAAGAAAAAAAAAAAAAAGGAAGAAAAGAAAAGAAAAGAAAAAAGAAATTGGCCAGGCATGGTGGCTCAAGCCTGTAATCCCAGCACTTTGGGAGGCTGAGGCGGGCGGATCACGTCAGGAGATGGAGACTATCCTGGCTAACACGGTGAAACCCTGTCTCTACTAAAAATACAAAAAAATTTAGCCAGTCGTGCTGGCAGGCACCTGTAGTCCCAGCTACTCTGGAGGCTGAGGGAGGAGAATGGCGTGAACCCAGGACGCGGAGCTTGCAGGGAGCCGAGAATGCGCCGCTGCACTCCAACCTGGGTGACAGAGGGAAACTCCGCCTCCAAAAAAAAAAAAAATTACAGCGGGGCACGGTGGCTTATGCTTGTCATGTAGTCCCAGCACTTTGAGAGGCCGAGGCAGGTGGATCATGAGATCAGGATCAAGACCAGCCTGACCAACATGATGAAACCCTGTCTCTACTAAAAAATACAAAAATTAGTTGGGCGTGGTGGCACACACCTGTAATCCCAGCTACTTGGGAGGCTGAGGCAGTAGAATTGCTTGAACCTGGGAGGCAGAGGTTGCAGTTAGTCGAGATTGCGCCCCTGCGCTCCAGTCCAGGCAACAGAGCGAGACTCTGTCTCAAAAAAAAAAAAAAAAAAAAAAAAAAAAAAAGTAACCAAGGCAGAGCACCGAGAAGAGAGGTTTGGGAGATGGTTTAGTGAAGTAATCCATATTTTCTGATGATAAATTGGCACCCAGTCAATTTATTCATCAGAAAGGAATACATCGGCCTGGTGTGGTGACTCGTCCCCTGTCCCTGTCATCGTCACCAGCAGCGCGGAGCCTTGAGCCAGAAACCTCCAGGGGGCCTAAGTCAGGGGGTGGGTCCCCTGCTGCAGAAGGGTGGAACAGTCGCTCAGTGCCACCCCAGAGGTTGCACCGTGCCCAGCGCCAGGGTCCAGCTCCTGGATCGCAGGTCGAGGAGGGGCCGGGAGTGGCTATGTCAGGCGGGCTTGTGTGGTATGGCGCCGCCCATGTTCCACGGGTGGCTCACTGTAACCTCCGCCTTCTGGGTCCAAGCTATTTTCCTGCTTCAGCCTCCCTAGTAGCTGGGATTACAGGAATGTGCCACCATGCCCGGCTAATTTTGTATTTTTTTTTTTAGTAGAGATGAGATTTCTCCATGTTGGTCAGACAGTTCTGGAACTCCTAGGCTCAGGCAATCTGTCCTGGGATCAGGACTGTGAGATCCTGGGCAGATCGCCAGAGCCTAGGAGTTCCAGACCCGCCTGACCAACATGGAGAAACCCCGTCTTTACTAAAAAAATATACAAAATTAGCCTCCACCATGGACTCAGGTACAGCTCCTACCTGAACATGGCACGCAGCAGCAGGGGCTGCAACCCTGACACTGTCAGCGTCACCAGCAGCGCGAATCCTTGGGCCAGAAGCCTCTGGGGCGCCTAAATCAGGGGGTGGGTCCCTGACTGCAGGAGGGCGGGAACCGACCCTCAGTGCCACCCCAGAGGCTGCACCGTGCCCAGTGCCAGGGTCCAGCTCCTGGATCGCAGGTCGAGGAGGGGCTGGGAGTGGCTATGTCAAGCGGGCCGTGTGGCATGGCGCCCCCCATGTTCCGTTCCAGGGAGGCCCGCCAACACGGAAGTGCCTCAGCGGCAGTTGCCACCTGCACGCGGTGCCTGGGGAACGTGGCCAGGGCGCGTGTCTCCTCAGCCTGTTGAGCTGCGCATGCGCTGCTGGCTAACGGCTCTGCTCTGCGCGTTTCTGCTGAGAGAGGCCTGAGTGTGCAAGAGCTTGGCGAAAACAGAACTTTTTACGGGTGTCGAGGCACTGCGTGGACTGAAGAAGGGCAAAGACGATCTGGGTGGGAGGGGGCGGGTGGTGGCTGGGGAAGGGCTAGCGGGAAGCTAGGGCCAACGGAGGGGTTTGGGGGAGGGCGATCCGGAGGCGCGGGCTCTCTCTAGCAGGTTGCCGCAGCCATGCAGTGGCTCTCTCCAGTCGGTGGCAATGACTTGCCCACGGGCCAGGTGCGCCCGAGCCCCTTCAGCCAGCTAGTGTACACCAACAACGACTCCTACATCATCCAGTACGGGGATCTTAGAAAGATCCATAAAGCTGCCTCCCGGGGCCAAGTCTCAAAGCTGCAGAAGATGACAGTGAAGAAGAAGACCATCAACCTTAATGTAAAAGACGCCAGGAAGAGGTACCAGGCCCTGCTTGAGCCAGGGCTGCAGAAGGAGATGGTGGCTGCAGGAGGATTTCCCCTTCAGAGTCGGGGGCTGGGGGGCCTGGGGAGGAAGGGAGCAGGTGGAGGAATGGCTGACGGCAGGGCGGCCACCATGGGCCCCAGGGTCTAGGCCTTCTTCCAGGGCAGGCCCCCAGGCCTGGGACGGGGGCGCCCTGCTGGGCAGAAGGCCCAGGCCACCTTAAAATCAACCCCAAACTTTAGCTGCTTTCTCCTTCACTCCTACTTCCTCTCACAGAGCACTGTGTAGAGAATTTTAATGATTTAACTCACAAAATTAAGTACATACAGGATTTTACTTTTAATGTACAAGCTTTAAAAGATAATGTTAGCTACATTATGAAATGGTGCATAATGAAATAATTCCCATAATATATGTACTTCTTGGCTAAACATTCTTTGGATAAAGTCCAATATCCATTTTGATATCAATGAATGTCTATGTAAATATGTTCTTTGCTGAGGGACCTTAGAAGGAAACTTTGAGGTGGGAAGATGGTTTATGTTCTTGAATTTAAGAAGAGTGATTTTTCTTAAGATGCGAGTTCTTTATCAATTTTACATAAACCAAATAAAGTTATCAACGTTTTAACATTTTTTGAATTACACAGGCTTTTACTATTGTGATGACATTTTACATATTTGGTAATGGAGTAGAAAAATCTTGCCCTTCTAGATACCAAAATGCGCTATTAACTTGCAGAAGATGGGCCGGGCGCGGTGGCTTACGCCTGTAATCCCAGCACTTTGGGCATCTGAGGCGAGTGGATCACCTGAGGTCAGGAGTTCAAGAACAGCCTGGCCAATAAGGTGAAACACCATCTCTTACAAAATCACAAAAGTTAGCCAGACATGATGTCGGGTGCCTGTAATCCCAGTTACTGGGGAGGTTGAGGCACAGGAGTCGCTTGAACCCGGTAGGTGAAGATTGCAGTGAGCGGAGATCCCACCACTGCAATTCAGCCTAGGTGACAGAGAAACTCTCTCTCTCTCTTAAAAAAAAAAAAAAAAATCACAAATTGTTTACTAACAGCTGAAAAGACAGGTAAATTAATACGACAGAATAGAAAATCCAGAAACACCCAAACATTTGTAAGAATTTAGAACTTGGTAATGGTCACACTTTATACTAGTAGGAAAAGAATTAGTTTCCTAAGTAAAATGCCTGCTTTTTGGAGAAAATTAGATTTTTATGCCAGAAAATAAGTTCCTGATGGAATATAGATTAAAAGTTTTTAATGTACAAAATGATAAAAATAACAGAAGAAAACATATATGCCTATTTACACAGATATATTTTTATGTTGACAAAACTTTTCTAAGATTGTCAGAAGCAAGCATTCTGAAGGGCAATTTAGTAAAACAAAAATTAAAACACCCTGCATATGAGAAAAAATAAAAGGCAGCATACTTGTAAAAATATTTACTATATGTGTGTGTGTATATATATATATTAGATTTAAAACTCTTCATTTTATAGAGAATTCACTCAAATCAACAAGAATCCCTCTAATTTAAAATTGGGCAGTTTAAATTAGAGATCTAAATTGCAGATCTAAAAAAAGTACTTGTCCTGTAATTTAAAATTGGGCAAAGTCCTTTTTTAAGATCTGCAAGTGACCTATGCACAAAGGAAACAAATTTAGTGTTCCCGGTTAGGGAAGGCATTTAAGTTAAAAAAGGAGTCAAATACTGTTCTCTATCCACAAAGTTTGTGCGGATAAAAAGCAGTGATATTTATAGTACTCCTTAAGGTTTAAGTTGCAGATGACTTTTCAAATAGACAATTTGATGGTAAGTACCATATTTAAAAAATTGTATATGCCCATTAGTGGTCAATTCTATTACACAAAAATATTTTTAGAAAATAATGAAACATACACACAATTTCTTTTCTGAGCACTGCTTGAAATGTCAATGTAGGCCGGGCGCGGTGGCTCAAGCCTGTAATCCCAGCACTTTGGGAGGCCGAGACGGGTGGATCATGAGGTCAGGAGATCGAGACCATCCTGGCTAACACAGTGAAACCCCGTCTCTACTAAAAAATACAAAAAAAAACTAGCCGGGTGAGGTGGCGGGCGCCTGTAGTCCCAGCTACTCGGGAGGCTGAGGCAGGAGAATGGCGTGGACCCGGGAGGTGGAGCTTGCAGTGAGCTGAGATCCGGCCACTGCACTCCAGCCTGGGAGACAGAGCGAGACTCCATCTCAAAAAAAAAAAAAAAAAAAAAGAAAGAAATATCAATGTATTAAAAATCCATTTAATGGCTTTTATAAGTACATTTCAGTGAGTTTACAGCATGGGATAATATGTGATCACTCAAGGTAGAAATATATTCAGAAATATGTTGACATTTGAAAATGTATTTTGGTATACTAAGTGAGGGTAAAGTTCAGTTTGATTATACATACACAGACTATGGTCTTGTGTTATCTGAAATTATGTACAAAATATAAAATTTGTTAAGGACATTTGTTTTTATATAAAATGTTTTTCCTTTTTATTTGATTTCTGCATTGAGCATGGACAATGCTATTAGTAAAAGTTTATTATTAATAAAATAATTTTTGGGAGGAGCAGCAATATGAATTTTACACAGATAAAATAGTTTCTTGCTTTCTATATTTTAATTTTTATTTTTTGTGGATTAGTATGTTCTGTGAACTTTTAGCATCTTCAGAAGAGAATCTTTTTATCTGTGCTTACTGATTTACATATTTTATTAGACACATTTTTATTATATAGATTTATTACATGTCAATAACTATAGATTAATCACTTTAGTGTAGTGTTATTAGAAAAATAAAAGAGCAAATGTAAGTGCTTTATTCATAGTAGTTTTATAAGATACTGAACTTCCCAACTGTATTGATCCATTCTTTTAATCCATTTATCGCATGTAAGCTGAATGCCTATTATGTAGAAGATACATTCTCTCAAGACCCTTTCATCCTTAAAAATTTCACACTTACTTGCTCAGCCTGAGCAAAGTGAGAGATTTAAAATTGGAGTATTGGGGGGCGGAGCAAGATGGCCGAATAGGAACAGCTCCAGTCTCCAACTCCCAGCGCAAGCGACACAGAAGACCGGTGATTTCTGCATTTTCAACTGAGGTACTGGGTTCATCTCGCTGGGGAGTGCCGGACGATCGGTGCTGGTCAGCTGCTGCAGCCCGACCAGCGAGAGCTGAAGCAGGGCGAGGCGTTGCCTCACCTGGGAAGCGCAAGGGGGAAGGGAATCCCTTTTCCTAGCCAGGGGAACTGAGACATACAACACCTGGAAAATCGGGTAACTCCCACCCCAATACTGCGCTTTAAGCAAACAGGCATACCAGGAGATCATATCGCACACCTGGCCGGGAGGGTCCCACACCCACGGAGCCTCCCTCATTGCTAGCACAGCAGTCTGTGATCTACCCGCAAGGCAGCAGCGAGGCTGGGGGAGGGGCGCCCACCATTGCTGAGGCTAAAGTAGGTAAACAAAGCTGCTGGGAAGCTCGAACTGGGTGGAGCTCACAGCAGCTCAAGGAAACCTGCCTGTCTCTGTAGACTGCACCTCTGGGGACAGGGCAATAACAAACACAGCCGAAACCTCTGCAGACGCAAACGACTCTGTCTGACAGCTTTGAAGAGAGCAGTGGATCTCCCAACACGGAGGTTGAGATCTGAGAAGGGACAGACTCCCTGCTCAAGTGGGTCCCTGACCCCTGAGTAGCCTAACTGGGAGACATCCCCCACTAGGGGCAGTCTGACACCCCACACCTCACAGGGTGGAGTACCCCCCTGAGAGGAAGCTTCCAAAGCAAGAATCAGACAGGTACACTCGCTGTTCAGCAATATTCTATCTTCTGCAGCCTCTGCTGCTGATACCCAGGCAAACAGGGTCTGGAGTGGACCTCAAGCAATCTCCAACAGACCTACAGCTGGGGGTCCTGACTGTTAGAAGGAAAACTATCAAACAGGAAGGACACCTACACCAAAACCCATCAGTACATCACCATCATCAAGACCAGAGGCAGATAAAACCACAAAGATGGGGAAAAAGCAGGGCAGAAAAGCTGGAAATTCAAAAAATAAGAGCACATCTCCCCCGGCAAAGGAGCGCAGCTCATCGCCAGCAATGGATCAAAGCTGGACAGAGAATGACTTTGACGAGATGAGAGAAGAAGGCTTCAGTCCATCAAATTTCTCAGAGCTAAAGGAGGAATTACGTACCCAGCGCAAAGAAACTAAAAATCTTGAAAAAAAAGTGGAAGATTTGATGGCTAGAGTAATTAATGCAGAGAAGGTCATAAACGAAATGAAAGAGATGAAAACCATGACATGAGAAATACGTGACAAATGCACAAGCTTCAATAACCGACTCGATCAACTGGAAGAAAGAGTATCTGCCATTGAGGATCAAATGAATGAAATGAAGCGAGAAGAGAAACCAAAAGAACAAAGAAGAAAAAGAAATGAACAAAGCCTACAAGAAGTATGGGATTATGTAAAAAGACGAAATCTACGTCTGATTGGGGTGCCTGAAAGTGAGGGGGAAAATGGAACCAAGTTGGAAAACACTCTTCAGGATATCATCCAGGAGAACTTCCCCAACCTAGTAGGGCAGGCCAACACTCAAATCCAGGAAATACAGAGAACGCCACAAAGATACTCCTCAAGAAGAGCAACTCCAAGACACATAATTGCCAGATTCACCAAAGTTGAAATGAAGGAAAAAATCTTAAGGGCATCCAGAGAGAAAGGTCGGGTTACCCACAAAGGGAAGCCCATCAGACTAACAGCAGATCTCTCGCCAGAAACTCTCCAAGCCAGAAGAGAGTGGGGGCCAATATTCAACATTCTTAAAGAAAAGAATTTTCAACCCAGAATTTCATATCCAGCCAAACTAAGTTTCATAAGTGAAGGAGAAATAAAATCCTTTACAGATAAGCAAATGCTTAGAGATTTTGTCACCACTA